TGGAGGCCCGGGCCCTGCCCGCTGCCCAGCTGCCCACCCCCAGCGGGGTCTCCCCACCAGCCCCGCCTCCTGTCAGGGACCCAGGCATCCAGCGCCCACGGTCCGCTGTGGTGGCCCCATGACACCTTCCCGATCACGTAGACTCCGTAGACTCCGCCCGACAAGGGGCTGGGCCAATGCTGCCCTGAGGAGCCTGCCGGCTGACCCGGGCGGGTGCGGCGGGGTGGCACCTGGCACTCTTTTAAAAATATATAAATACTTCCTATTGCTTTCAGAGAGAGAGAGAGAAACATCAATGATAAGAGACAATTATTGACTGGCTGCCTCCTGCACGGCCCCCCACTGGGGAGCGAGCCCGAAACCCAGGCATGTGCCCTGACTGGGAATTGAACCGTGCCCTCCTGGGTCATAGGTCAAAGCTCAACCACCGAGCCACACCGGCCGGGCTGCCCTCGTGTTTGGAATTAAAGGCACAGGTGAGTTAAGAGATTGTTTTCAAGGCCCTGAGGACCCTCGGCACCGTCATCGCTTAGTGACCGGGAAGCTAAATGCCCTGCAGGCCTGTGGGCCACGGCCTCTCCAGTGCGAACAGCCCGGAGGACGCGGCCCAAGCAGCGTCTCGGCTCTCAGACCGCCCGAGACCGGCACGTCCAGAGCACAGACGCCGCCCGATTTACAGGCAGAAACTTCGCTCGTGAGGAGTGACGGTCCCGACGCCTGCACCGCTCATCACTCTGTAAAAAGCGTGGCTGCTGCGCGCACTGCAGAGACGAACAAACAGCAGAGACCGCGCCTCCGGTCCTCAGCCTCCCGCCCTGCGCTATTAACTGCTGGTGGTGAACACGCTCCGACACCACGTGTCCATTCACCGCCCGGGCATGACCTCGCTATGGACGCTCACACGTGAGCGAGGAACTGGAAGCGGAGACTGTGCGAGCTCTGGGCCGTGGCCGCGCCCGCCCGCGCTCACCCTGGTAGAAGACGTCCACGCAGGGCTGGTCGGCGCTGATGACCTTCAGGACCCCGGGGTACGAGGGCAGCACCCTGACGATGTTCCGGTGGTGCTGCAGCAGCCGCTGCACCGTCTCCCGCTCCGAGATGCCCTCGGGCACCACCAGGCGGTTCTGGATCTCAGGCTCGGGGGGCCAGTCGAAGGTGGTGTGGTAGATCTCTG